CATCCCGGTCAACATGGTGAAACCCCGTCTCTACTAAAAATACAAAAAAATTAGCTGGGCATGGTGGCGCGTGCCTGTAATCCCAGCTACTCAGGAGGCTGAGGCAGGAGAATTGCCTGAGCCCAGGAGGCGGAGGTTGCGGTGAGCCGAGATCGTGCCATTGCACTCCAGCCTGGGTAACAAGAGTGAAACTCCGTCTCAAAAAATAAATAAATAAAATAAATAAATAAATAAATAAATGTGTACAGTTCTAAAACTCACCATCTTTATTTATTTATTTATCTATTTATTTTTAAGACAGAATCTCACTCTGTTGCCCAGGCTAAAGTGCAGTGACACAATCATGGTTCACTGCAGCCTTGAACCCCCTGGACTCAGGTGACCCTCCCATCTCAGTAGCTGGGACTACAGGCGTGCATTACCAGGCCTGGCTAATTTTTTTCTTTTTCTTTTTCTCTTTTTTGTAAAGAGGAGGATCTCCCTATGTTGGTCAGGCTGGTCTTGAACTCCTGGGCTCAAACGATCCTCCTGCCTCGGCCTCCCAAAGTGTGGATTACAGGCATGGGCCATCACACCTAATCTTACCTTTTACTTATATAAAACATAGAACTGATGTAACATCTGTCCAGGTGGAAATATATTAATTAACCATGCCAATTGATAGCCCTAAGTATTATTCCTTAATTTTTTAAAAATTACATACTTTCCAAGGAACATGAAGTATTCCTGTTTTGAACAGATCCAAATTTTTCCCATGCCAACTTCGTAGGTAAACTAGGTCTTTCTACTGACTTTACCAAAATTTTGTAAAAATATACCCAGTACCTTCTCACATTTTTTCCCCAGAGCAGGGGGAACTGTGGTGTAAAGAGAAGTCTATATACAGCTTTTTTTTTTTTTTTTCCTTTCTTTTTTAAACAAATCCAGTCATTAAAAACAGGGCTGCAGAGACAAGAGAAGGGAGTTCTTTTCTGTTCTGTGAAGTCTGGTTCTCTCTGAAGCAGAATTTCATCAAACTGAATGTGTTATGAATTTTAAATATATTTGAGGCTAAACGAGGAAAAATAAGTATGTTGTTCTTTCTTGTAGGCTTGCCTTTAGATGTGTCTGGTCACTACCCTGGAAACCTGTACAAATGGCAACTGACGTCAAGAAAAGAGAAAAAAGCAGTGCTGAGAGCACACACTGCATGCATTATAGATGATTCTGACGATGGAGGCTTTGCCGGCACTAAGTGGCTTTAAGATGAGGATAAGCAATCTTCCATTTCACAAACATCTTTGAGATTTTAATTTAAGCAAAGTGACATTTCAATTATTAGCTTAAGTGTTCTGTCCCACCATAACCGCCAAGGCCATTAAAATGTTTGGCACTAATAAATCTCAAAATGAAGTGGAAGCTGCACCCTGTTTTGAGAATAGTTTATCCCAACATTATGAAAAAAATTCAGACATACAGCAAGTTGAAAGAATTTTACAGCGAACAACCATATACTCATCATCCAGATTCTTCCATTTTCAGTGTACTCAACTGGCCTTATCATATGTCTGTCTGTCTTCCATCCATCGATCCATCCATCCATCCATCCATCCATTTATTCTTTTAGCTATACCTTAATCCACCCAATTTTGATGCATTTCAAATAAATTGCAGACATGAATGTACTTTCCCTGTAAATATTTCAGCATGCATATCACAACTAGAATTCAATATTCATTTATAGGTTTTCTTTTGATATAACATCTACATACAATGAAATGCACAAATCTTAAGTATACATTTGCTGTTTTGACAAATGATTAGTTTCAGAGCATAGTGGGCTAGTTTTTTTAGATTTATCATCTTTTTTTTTTCTCTAGGGTCTCCACACATACTATTCTTTTTCTTTCTTAAAAGGAAGTTTATTTTCTAGAGGTGTTTTAGGTTCATAGCAAAACTGAACAGAAAGTACATAGAATTCCCATGTACCCACTGCACCAACACCATGTACAGCCTCCCCCACTGTCAACATCCCAACCAGAGTGGTATATTTGTTACAATCAATGAACCTAAATTGATACAATCCATAGCTTACATTAGTGTTCAGTCGTGGTGTTTTATATGCTATGGGTTTGAATAAATATATAATAATATCTATCCACTATGGTAGAATCCTACAGAAGTTTAACTGCCTTAAAATCCTCAGTGCTTTGCTGTTCATCTCTCCTTCCCCTGGTAACCACTGATCTTTACTGTCTCAATAGTTTTACCTTTCCTAGAGATCACATAGTTGAAATCATACCTTCCCCCGGCACCACAGATCTTTTTACTGTCTCAATAGTTTTCCCTTTGCCAGAGATCACATAGTTGAAATCATACTTGAATTTGCATTTAACAAGTTCAGAACACTCTTTTTGTAGAATCTAAGAAGTGACATTCTGAACCTATTGATCTTTTACAGGAAAATATGGGTGTGGTGGCTCATACCTGTAATCCCAGCACTTTGGGAGGCTGCAGTAGATGGATCATGAAGTCAGGAGATTGAGACCATCCTGGCCAATATGGTGAAACCCATCTCTACTAAAAATACAAAAAAATTAGCAGGCTGCAGTGAGCTGAGATCGTACCACTCCACTCCAGCCTGGCATATTCATATTTAGGACTGGATATTAGTCTAAAAAAAAAAAGAAAGAAAATATGAATATCCAGCCCTAAAAACTAGAAACAAGCTATCTGTAAAAATGCTTTGTGATGTGCTGTTTTACATCACAGAATTGAAGCTGTGATGTTGGTTTTCAGATTGGCTTCGTTCACTTAGCAATATGCATTTAAAGTTTTGCCATGTTTTTCGTGGTTTGATAGCTCATTTCTTTTTAGCATCCCATTGTCTGGATGTACTTCAGTTTATTTATTCAGCTACTGAAGGACATCTTGAGTGCTTCCAATTTTTGGCAATTGTGAATAAAGCTGCTATAAACACTCATGTGCACGTTTTTATGTGGACATAAGGTTTCAATTCATTTGAGTAAATACCAAGGAACATGATTGCTGGATTATATGGTAAGAGTAGGTTTAGTTTTATAAGAAGCTGCCAAACTGTCTTCCAAAGTAGCTGCACCATTTTGCATTCCCACCAGCAATGAATGAGAGCTCCTGTTGTTCCGTATCCTTGCCAGCATTTGGTGACGTCAGTATCTTGGATTTGGGCCATTCCAACAGCTGTGTGGTAGAATCTCATCATTGTTTTAATTTGCATTTTTCTAATGACCTATGATATTGAGCTCCTTTCCATATGTTTATTTGCCTCTGTATATCTTCTTCGGTGAGGTCTCTGTTTATGTCTCTTGCCACTGTTTTTCCTTTTTTTTCTTTTTTTTTTTCTCCCAGGGATAACATCACTATTGTAGTCTCTTGCCATTTAAAAATCAGATTATTTGTTTTCTTATTGTTGAGTTTTAAGAGTTCTTTGTATTTTACATAATAGTCCTTTATCAAATATATTATTGCAAATATTTTCTACCAATCTGTAGCTTGTCTTCTCATCCTTTTGACAGTGTGTTTTGAAAAGTTATATTCATTTTCCATTAAACAATTAGTCTATTCAACTGAGGGGAAAACTTGGTAGACAAGATGATTCCTGACATCATGTAATCTACATTTTAATGCAAGAAACAACAATAAACAAATAAATGAATCAATATATAATAGGCATTTATGTGGAGTTGCTTGCTGGAAAGAAAATGAAAACATAGTAAGGGGTTGAAGAGTAGCTGGAGAAGGATCACTCTGGCTGCTGTGTAGACCTCATGGGGCCAAGGTAGAATAGACCACACTGGGGGCCAGGGTAGAAGTGGGTTAGGAATCTATTGCCCTCATACAAGCAAAAGACAATGCAGGCATGGACTAGGGTGGAAGCAGTGGGTGTGGTGAGAAATATCCAGATTCTGAGCATTTCTTAAAAGTGGCACTGGCATACCTTGCTCATGGATTGGTTATAAGAGAAAGGATTCCGGGATGAAAGCTAGGTTTGGACCTAAACAACTGTGTGAATAGTGGTGAAGTTAGGAGGAGGGTGTGGAAGAAAGTGGGTAGGGGACCAGGCTGGGGGATGGGACATTCAAGTGAATATTGAGGAGATGTCCAAGCAGGCCATTGGGATTTCACCTGAAACGTTAGGGCTGGAAATATTTGGGAGTCTTCAGTATATGGACAGTGTGCTGCATAGCTTTGTAGCCTTCCTAATTCTCACTCCATGCCTCTCCACTCTGCTCTTTACCTTCAGATAGCCTGACCTGTGAATTCAGTCAATGAACTCCGACCCCTGGTTTCCAGCTGGATTCAGCCAGCCTTGTGGCAGATCAGAAAAAAGAGCAAAATTAGGTAGTGTATTCCCCCAGCTCCCCACTGAAGATTGCCTGAGTCCCTTGACCAAAAACCACAGCTCCCATCACACAGGCCCCCTAATAGCTGTTCCTCTCTAGGTGCAGTCACTGCTCCTGACTGAATGAGGTTGGATGAGATCACTTAGGGAGCGTGAATAGATAGAAAAGAAGAGCTTTGACACCCTAATATTTAGAGGCCAGAAAGAAGAGGTGGGCTCTGCCAAGGGGGAGTCTATGCGGCAGAAGAAACACAGGAACACGTGGTGTCTGGTGTCTGGGTAGTGACCCAGGGAAGGTAGGCTCTTCAAGAGATAGTTCTCCTGGTGGGGCATGGTGGCTCACGCCTGTAATCCCAGCACTTTGGGAGCCCGAGACAGGCAGATCACTTGAGGTCAGAAGTTTGAAGCCAGCTGGCTAACATGGCAAAACCCCAACTCTACTAAAAATACAAAAATTAGCTGGGTGTAGTGGTGCACAACTGGAATCCCAGCTACTTGGGAGGCTGAGGCATGATAATCGCTTGAACCCCGGAGGTGGAGGTTGCAGTCAGCCGAGATTGCACCACTGCACTCCAGCCTGGGCGACAGAGCAAAACTGTCTCTGTGGACAAACAAAAGAACAGTTCTCCTCAAGTGTCCCAAGCTACTATTTTCCTGAAACTCTCAGGACCTCTTCTTGTTCCCCCTCATCATTCTTAACTTTTTCCTTCTCTCAGGGTTGTTGAACTTGCTTTGCAATTAAGCTTTAGACACTCCCAGATCTGCTGATATGTTGTGTCTGACCTCAGGGGAGGTGATGGTTTGAGCTCTGGTCAGAGGCTCTCAGCAGCTGTGCATATCTACAGATGCATCCGGTATGGGAAGGAGAGGGACACAGGGGAAACCACCAGGAAATATACACAGACAACTTTTTTTTTTTTTTTTTGAGATGGAATCTTGCTCTGCCACCCAGGCTGCCGTGCAGTGGCACGATCTCAGCTCACTGCAACCTCCAACTCCCAGGTTCAAGCAATCCTGCCTCAGCCTCCTGAGTAGGTGGGGTTACAGGTTCACGCCACCACAACTGGCTAAATTTTGTATTTTTAGTAAAAATGAGGTTTCGCCATGTTGGCCAAGCCGATCTTGACTCCTGAACTCAAGTAATCCACTCACTTTGGCCTGCCAAAGTGCTGGAATGACAGGCGTGAGCCACTACTCCTGGCCAGGCAATTATTATTACTATATATTTTTTTGAGACAGAGTCTCGCACTGTTGCGCAGGCTATAGTGCGGAGGCGTGATCTCAGCTCACTGCAGTCTCCGCCTCCCGGGTTCAAGCAACTCTCCTGCCTCAGCCTCCTGAGTAGCTGGCACTACAGGCAAGCACCATTACGCCCAGCTAATTTTTTTGTATTTTTAGTAGAGACAGGGTTTCACCGTGTTGGCCAGGATGGTTTCGATCTCCTGACTTTGTGATCCACCCGCCTCAGCCTCCCAAACTGCTGGGATTACAGGTGTGAGCCACCGCGCCCGGCCACAATTATTTTTAAATAACACTCAGGTATTACACTGTGAATATGGTCAAAGCAGGAACAATTTCATATTCACCATCAATGTTCAGAAACTAACACCCACTTCACAGCTGCAGCTCAATAAATTTTTTTTGAATACTTTTTTAAAAAAATGATATATTACAATATAATTATAATATGTTTTTGGTGCATGAAGGCACCTTTACAGACTTGACAATCTTAAATTGCCCTAGTATTACACATCTCTGATTATGCTTTTAAATGTTACAAATTACCTGAGTATGAAGGTACTTTAAAGAAAAAAAACAGCATTGTACTGAGAAGATGAAAACATAAACTCTGCAGAAACAAAGGATATGGATTTAGGTCACTAGGACTCTTGGGCCATCAAATAAATGTATTAGTACTGCACTAGCAACAGTTTTGTTTTAAAATGTGACACTGTTGGCTGGGTGTGGTGGCTCAAGCCTGTAATCCCAGCACTTTGGAAGGCCAAGGCGGGTGGGTCATGAGGTCAAGAAATCGAGACCAACCTGTGGTCAACATGGTGAAACGCCGTCTCTACTAAAAATACAAAACATTAGCTGGGCATGGTGGCACGTGCCTGTAATCCCAGCTATTGAGGAGGCTGAGGCAGGAGAATTGCCTGAACCCAGGAGGCGGAGGTTGCGGTGAGCCGAGATTG